TGAAGTTACCCAGGGGGGTTCAACTCCGCTTCTGCATCCGTCTAGCCATGGGGAAATTTTGGAGGGTCAAAAGTGCACACTGCTTCCACTTTTCGTGTATTAGCCTATGAAGACGACAAATTTTTAGTGCACCAGCGAAATGGGGATTTTGGACTGCGCGCAGCGCGTAAAATATGTAAATTAAAATTTGGAATATTCATGAGCTCATTTCCACTTATTAGCATATTATCGTAATGAAAAAAAGGCAATGCGCATGCGTTACTCTCGACAGAATCCTTGGGCCGAATAAATTTAGAACAAAGGTCAGAGTTGGGGAGGTGTGTGTGTTGGGGGGTGGGGGGAGGGGGTAATAAACTTTTAAATGGTTGACTGCCACCAAACTTCACTGTCACCAGGATGGAAAGTACATTTTTTTTAATTCAGTTCAGTTAAAAGGCAAAAATAATGACCCCATTTCACTGTGGTACCTCAATTCATTTTTTACCTCTTTTTTTGTTTTGTTCGTTTATTAACTTAAATATGTTTTTAATCAGAAAAATTGCACTGATCATTTAGCCCACTCAACAAGTGATATATTCATATTTTTAGTGTCCAAATAATGAATCATTCTCACCTCGACTTCAATGATCTTCATATTGTGCCCCATCCCCAATGAAATTTCTATTTTGTCTCGTTCTTTTCATTCTTTCATTCGTCGCCACTGATTTTTTTAAAATTTGCCCCCCCCCCCCCAATCAGTAACATTTTCAATACAGGGACCCCTTCCAATATTGACATTTCCATAGGCTCTATTACCCTCCCTCCCCCAATTACCTATGCTTTCATCATTTTGGCATTGACCTATTCTTTATTTAACCCCCCCCCCTCATCTTTATTGTAAACCATTTTTTATACTATATTTATACATTAGTCTTGCCCACTCTCTTGTTACATTTCCGCTTTCTCTCTCATTAGGAAAGATGGTTAAATCTATCTCGCTGATGCCAGATATAAACAAACATCAAAGGTCGAACACCAGCTCAATTCTACACAAGACTGCATCAGCCCCCATCTCACCTCAGTCATAGAGCATTATCATTACAGAGTGCCTACATCATCATAATCACCAGCATCATCACATATATTTCACAAAATAAGAAAATGAAAAGAACAGAATTAAGTAGTATTAACTAATTTATTAACATCTATGAACTCATTTATCAACATATTTTGTTTCTATAAAGATCTTTTTAAACCCAACATGACATCAACAAAAGGATGACAAAAGGATGGGGGAGGGGGGGGGGGGTGCTGTCTCTTGAATTCAAATTTTTCAGTTGTAAACGTTTACTGTAGATTTTGAGGGAAAAAAAATCAATTATATCAACATGCTATTTTATCGTGTAAAGCACAGGTATATACTGAGTTTTATGAGTACTTTATCTTACATTGGACATTATTGTTGTTTTTACTACTACCTGTATTATCATTATTATTACTGCTATTATCATGATCATTGTCATTATTGTTACTATTTGTAATATTGTTATTATTATTAATGTTATTAATTATATTACTACAGTATAACTATTGAACTACATCATTTTATTCCCCCCCCCCCCCCCCTTCAATTTACTATCCAGTTCAGCATCCCTCATATATTTGTCAGAACTTGACTTAAGATTAAATATCAAACAACTATGTTACATGTACACGCATTTAAAAGAACAAATTATTACTTTCATGATCCTCGATATACCTTCTTCTTCTTCTTCTGGTAATCTTCAAAAGGCGTTGTAGCCTATCACGAAGATGAATTAATACTAAAGATTATAAGTGGTGTGAGGAAGATAGATTGTTTCTAAGTGGGATAAATGGGATAAGGAGAGTAGATGCCTCAGAAGTAGTCCCTGGCAGTTCTCTGGACTGTCAGCATGCACTATATTTGCTGGAAGTAAGTTCCATTAACTATGGGACAGAGTGTTGGGCAAATACAAACTTTTCTGTACTAGTTTGGTCAGGGGGATTAGACCACCCTGCAAGGTCACTTACAGGTGGTTATCTCATCAAATCAGCTCTCAATTAATATAAGAAGAAGAGGATCATGGGGGACCAACAGGCACCGATTAGGCATTGTTTGCTATATAGAGGGCGCAAGTAGCTATAAGTAGTACAGTGGGAAAATTTTCAAGGGAGAGTGGAGAGACCATTGACTATCTTGTGCACCATTCCCAATCTTCTTGCAGAGTGCCTTGTAGTTGTAGATATAGTAGGCAACTAAAGGTGCTGATCATCTCAGTCAAACTGCTGGTTCACTTGTGGTCCCCATTGTGAAGTAGCGTCCTGGACATCTGAGATGTTGTAGGGATCCCAGACACCAGAACAGTTCTCAAGATGAGGGTGGACTAGGGACTTGTACAAAAGAAGCCTGGGTATCAAACCTTCTGCAAGGGACAACCTGCATAATAAAAACAAAAAGAGAGGAGAAATCAAATAAGATTAAATCTGCTGCATTATATTGGATTTTTAAAAATAGATCTAGTACCTCCCCACTTTTTTAGGTCTTGCATTTTAATTTTATTAAAAAATGATAAACTTATGTCTATCTGATAGGGCCTTTTTTTAAAAGAAGAGAAAAGGTTTAGATGTATTTCCAATTATTTTAAAAGTAATTTCCAATTTATTTTAAGTTATTATTTGCTAGAGGTCTAGACTTTTGTGAACAAAAGTTTGTTAGATACAATGTAATATTTAGGAAAAAATGCCTTTGAGTACGTCTTTTAATATGCTGAGAGAATAAACTGTAGCGACACCATAGTTTGTCACCTAAATAAAAAGCTAGAGAATAAATGAGAATTACAAGATATAATGCAATACAAGATGACAGTTCCCCAAATCTTTGTATATAGTCCAAGTCGAGTGCGGTGTTCGCATGGGCTTAGATTATACAGCCTGAATATTTTCGAACTTCATACAAACATACCTTGCCAGAGTTCAACTTAGGTGTCCTGTTCCTGATTAGATCTACACCATAACATTTGATGATCAGGTCCTGGGGCTCTTTGTTGCACTTCTGTGATCATTATCTGCTTCTTTGTTCCATAGGATCTACAATTTAAAGAAAAAATAAACTTAGTAAGGTTCCTGCTAATATCAAATGCATGCATTAGTTATCAGTTAATAACTTTGTTCATGTCCTTTAATAGAGAAAGAAATATCCATATCATGTAGGGTTGGATCCAGAATTCTCACCAACATAAAACTAAAAGGGGTGGCATAAAATCCTGAAAATAAACTAATTATTTCAAACAAGGCACAATGACATAACTAAGAGCAAAATCAGGGAAAGTGGGAGGGGGAGGGGGGGGGGGGGGGAGGAGACACCTTTTTTGTTTTGTTTTTGTTGTTGATGGTAGATCTAGCCTGGTAGTAGATCTACATTCAAACTAAGCTGAATCTGGACCTGGATCACAATAATGACACATGTGCACGACTAGGTCTAGTCTAGTCTAGATCTAGAGTCTAGACCTAGTGGAGCAAAAACGAGACTAGACCCATGGCTATGGAATTCTTTGCTATGGCATAACACAAGCTATAGATCTAGATCTAATTGCCTATTTTAATATTATTAGTAATAGTAGGTGGCTCTAGACCTAGATCTAGACCCGTCCCTATGCCACATCTGAAAAAGGGGGCGCAGAATGATTGTGCACCCCCCCCCCCTCTCCATAACTTCCACATTTATTTGACCAGGCATTTATTTAGTCTTTCTTTATTAGAAAGACTAAAGACTAGCATTAGGCCTAGAATCTAGCCTAGATCTAGGCCTATACTAGATGCGGGGTTAAATGCTGTTTATATTTAAGTGCTAGATCTAGACTAGATCTAGACCTAGGCTCTGCTTAGGCTCTGCTTAGCCCGAATGTTTCTGTCTCTTTCGTTCGTTAGCCTCTGATTTGGGTAGGGTCGGCTGAAATGAGGAGCCGACCCTACCCAAATCAGGGGCTAACGAACAAAAGAGACAGAAAATTCAGGCCAGACTATGCTATGAATACTAGCCTAGCCCTAGGCTTTACAGTAACACACTGTAAGTTATAGCCGCGCCAGCTCAGGAAACGCAGTCGCTTCTTGGTGGAGTGTTACAGCCGGCTAGAACCGGCGGATTGAAGATCATAAACCGCTCGACGAGATCTCATCGGCTTGGACTAGCAATGAGCCATTTGCGCAGTCTCCAACAGGTCCACATCTACGACCGATTACTATCGGTAATCAAGCTATGAACTGAACTTAAAATTATGAGATGTGCTCTAATGAAATAGCCTACGGTAAAATCCTGATATTTTCTAAAAATACTACCGTCGATGACTTAAATTAGAGTTCATCCAATCAGTTAATATTCTTTGGTCAGAAGAAAGAAAAGAGGATGGGGTAGGGGGTTAACCGGGTAATACGTTGTGACAATGCGGAGATCCCCTCACTGCAATGACGAACACATCACAATCATTTCAGAGATCTTCACACAAAATTGATCTTTACTTACTTTTTTGGCATCCGTATGGTATCACTTTGATGTCGATGTTTGCCTGAAGATTTTCTGCTTCACTGAGATGTACTTGACAAACTTCTATTATAATAGAAATTCACTTAAAAGAAAAATGTTTCATTGTTCGTAATTGAATAACTTAAAAGTTGCAGTTCATACAACCGCCATTTGTGTGCTCAAATCGTAGAGAATTCTGGGAATGAAAAAAATGATTTATGCATGACCTAATACATAAAACATTTTGTCGATGGCCAATCAACAAACAGTAGTTGGCGTATTTTTTACGTCATTGCTCATGAATATTCATTGACCCTCCAAAACCGTCGTTCAAATCGGACAAAACCCCCATAATGCATCCAATGCAAAACCTATGAAATGTCAAAGGTCAAGATTTTAGTTGGCCCTCTAGTCCTCCTACGGAGGACATACTGTGTATGATCGAATCTCTTTGAAGTTACCTTCGCCGCGCGCCCTCTGTTGTCGAAATAATTATTTAAATTCTGTTTCTAGGGAAGCTTTTAATTTTCATTTCGATTTGTTTATCATTATTTTTTGGACGATAACATAAAATGCAATATGGCTGAACCGTGAGTAAATTTCCTTTTGTAACATTTAATTGAGTTATCATAAGAATGTCGTCTGTCAAGACAGGTTAGGCCTACAGATCCTAGAAATACAGTTTTCATTGAATCGTTGAATTTGCTTTCCATTCAGTCCCATGTATCAACATTTGCGTGTTCAATTTAATTTAGAAGCCTGTGACGCTGTGAGCCTGTGATATTTTTATGAAATCGATGTTATATTACTTTTACCGGTATCTTTATCAATCTAGATTAATTGGTTGAGTTATGGGTTCTGCTTTCAGAGTATGAACAGAAAGAAAACTATTTTAAAACGTGTGACCAAACTAAAGATTTCTCAAAAATTTCAGTGGTAAGATTTTGAAAATCTGGAGTGATAGGGCCTAGATCTATCACCAATGGAAAGAGGATCATAAAATTACCCAAAAATGACATTTTCTTTGGAATTGGGTGCAAAAATTTTGAAAATATTGACAAATGATCAGCAAATTTTGCAGTTATTTGCATCCATTCCTAAAAAATTATCAACTTACCGATAAGGGTCTGGATCTGGAAATCTTCATTTTGAGAGCAGATAAGATATCCTCAAAATTGTAAGTAATGAGTGGTACCGACTGGTTGTATGATATTTTGCTTTGCAAATGATGATATTACCTTATTTTTGGTGGATCGTATTTTGTGTAAATCAGCTGTAAACCCCAGTGCGTGAAGTTAGGTCTCGATGTTTTTATGACCTTTTTCAGATGCAGCGCGCACGCAAGACCGGACATCAAATTTTTAGATCGCGATATCTCTGAAATCCTTGGACTATGAATTTTCTAGTTAAACCAATTGTAAATATTTGATTATGAAAACTTTTTAAAGGTAAAATAGGTCAGATAGAAGTACTTTTTGATACAAATAATTTCATTTTTTTTTTTCAGGGTTAATGAAGGACCACCAGAAGATGGATTTCAGTCACCTCAAGATCTCTGTGAAAGACTGGAGTCAGTAGAACTAAACGAGGATGAGACAGAGAGTTTATTGCAGGAGGCACTAGCCCTCAACCAGAGATTAAAAGCTGAACTCCAAAGAAGAGAGAACAATGACCCACAAGACGATGACAACGTCAATGGCTCAAGAGGAGCACCTGGTCAGGATATCTCATCACCAGATAAACACTTAAAGAACTCTTCAGCTAGACATAGGAGACCAGGACAGAAAAGCAATCCACTACCACCGATATCACCAAGTAAAGGTCACGCCAAAGGGTCAGGGTATCATAGGAAAGGAGGCCCTCTACGGTCCAAAGGCCAGCCCCCGGCTCCCCATGCTACTGTGGGCAGGATAGTCAACAGTGCAGGGGTAAGAACAAGACTATTTCATATCATTCAATGAATTTTCCCTTTAATGTTTTGTTGGTGTTTGTTAATGTTTGTCACAAAAGGATATACAATTTAGAGTGTCTTTGTTTTTACGATGATTCTGTTGATTCAGGTTTTTTTACTTTGACTTGCATGGAAGGATGACTTAATCATATTTTGCTATACTCTTAGCCAATCAAATGTAATGATTTGACTACCTTATAACAATTGTTTTATGTTGCTATTGATGATAAGTTTTATTAAACAAGGCCAAGTCAAATAGTAGTACAGTCAAACCTGCTTTAGTGACCACCTGTCTACAAAGACCACTTTTGATGTTTCCCTCGGGCAGTCACTATAGCCAGGTTTAATCAACCATAACCATAACCTTTTTTCTTGCACTCTTTATGTCACCCAGAGTGTTGAAAGTTCTCAGCGAAGATCCAAGTCAGCCAAGAAGGAAGTGGAAGGGAGACCAACCCGCTCAGCTGAACAGAGGAAGAAAAAGCCAGAGTGGGATGAGAGATTCTCATACCAGTAGCAGCCAGCAGCTTCTATAATACCAACATCTGCCAGAACATTCCAAGGGTACCACGACACATACTCAGGGGACTATTCTTCTCCATGCAGTCAATACTTAACACCGGGGGCCAGTTTCTCGAAACCGTCATAAGTCTAAGTTTGTAGACATCCCATAGATATGCATGTTATAAGAGATGAAAAGGGGCACTTATGAGAATGAAAAGGAACTATTTTCATAGGTAAAAAGAGGCATTTATGAGCAGGGGAAGGGTCAATGGGAAGTCCAAGAAGTTAGACTTATGATGGTTTCAAGAGACGGCTCCCACTCCCCAGGGCTCAACACTCACAGTTGCCCTGGACACACGGGTGCCAAAAATCTAAGTCTGGACACCCAAAATGTTGAATTGGGCTCACGCGTATAGACTCTAAAAATTTCAGTCTGGACCACCTTAAAAAAAGGTATTGTAGAGCCCTGCCTAATACTTACCAAATTTCTAACTACAACCTAGCTGGACCTAACATTATACCCAACCCTAAACCTAATCTAAAATCCACCTGCCATCAGAACCCTAACACTTATTTTTCGATGGCATATAGCTTGAGATATTGTTCCAAGAGCCAGTTTTGCATCTCCAGTTCAAGATCTGGTGAAGTGTATTATGTAGGAGAGTGATGATATCTGATCCATCACCTTCAGCCTTGCCATGGAACACTGTGATGTTTTACAGATATGAAAAGTGGTTCAATGTGAAGAATGGAGTATTTGAGTGGCTTGTGTAATATCACATTTTCAACGGAATCTTATTTCAAACATTGTTGTCGGGAAGAGAGTAGTCTGCCAGTACAGACCTTTAACAAAATTTAGCTGTATCTCTTTTGTTTACATAGACCACAAACATTTGCTTAATTACATAGATATTGCTGGATATTTGGCAGGAAATAATAAGAGATAAAAAAACCCCTCTTAAATGTTGTGTATTTTATATCTTTGTTTAAATTGTAATCCAATAACAACAATTCTTTTTTAATAGTTTGTTTCATAAAGCAGAATGATATTGAAAGGGTACTTTGTTTCAGCCATAATTTATTGAAATAATGTTGTTATCATCATTACATGGTTCGATAGTAGGCTCCAATGTTTGATGCTGCCATTATATAGTGTGTTCTTTGTTGTGAATATTATGTTTTTTTATATGTTTGTTTGTGTATTGTGCAATGTATTTGAAGTATATCTCTCAACCAGTTACAGAAGTAAGGTTCATATCTGGATTAGTGGATGCCTGGATGGTATAATTGTTGTGATTTATATATACATGTGTTTTGTTTGAGGTTTCGACTATGAAAGATGACTGATCTGATGCATTTTCTGTGCGTTAGGAGAAAGCCAAGTAATATAAATTTGATACTTACTGTAGCATGTTTTCATATCTTTATAAATATATTTTGTTTATGAACTTTAAAAAGAAATGATGCATTAATGCTTGGGGACAAAGTTGCTGCATATACATCTACAGTACATGAGGGAATGCAACTTAAATGTTAACTCCAGGAAGCTCCGACGCCGACGCCCGTCGGAGCTTCCTGGAGTTACTTAAATGCATTTATGGTATATATATTTGTATTGTTTGAGCATATGTCTCCTAATATGCAATCTTTAGAGCAATAATATCATAGACTATGCAACGTTTTAAATTTGTAATATTATAATAATTTGTGATATGTTGAATGTTTGCAAAATATTTCCAATAAATTTCTAGTAATATTTGAGTTACAATGCAGTACTAAATGGTAGTTCAATTAATGCATAATTGAAATGTAATTTGAAAAAATACAAAAACAAAGAAGAATACCATTCATTTCACTATTTCTATAGTGATTATTCATTTCGATTTGAAATTATTAATATGGTGTAGATTAGAAATCTTTTTATTTTTTTGCTTCTCCTGTGATAAGTCAGGGTTTATTAGAAGTAGAGCATACCCTCTCAATGACAAGTCCAGTTGACAAATATAGCCAAAAATGTGCTTGTTATCCAAATTACGAAGCTTGTTTGTTAGAGAAAAAAGTGCAGTTCTTGTGAAACACGATGCTGAATGTGTTGCACTATAGACGTGGATCTGCTAGGCTACTTGTGCATGTAAGTCACTTATATTATAGCATTATTAAGAGCTCATGCAGTGTCTGTTTTTAAAGTTGGTAAAATTTAAAGCTGATACTTTGAGTAGTTTGGTGTGTCTTTGAATATTTATTTTTGTTTCCTCCTCAGCTCATTGCTTAATGACTTTGTTTTAGAAAAGAAATCTTAAGTTATTAATCATAAAGTGATCTACAAGACTAAGTAGTAATTACTTTTTGAGTCTCAACAAACATTTATGTTGGCTTTATAGTCCAATAATGACTTGTTTGAGGACACCCCCACCCCTTCTTCCCCTAAAGGTAAATAGTACCTACCTTTGGGGTGTGTACTTATATAATATGTTCTAAATAGGTAATTGCAATGTAAGCTAATTATTATTAGCAGTTACTTAATTCTGTACACTAATTAATTTGGAATTAAATGTGCACAGATTGATGTAATTCTGAACTATTGAAATTGAAATGTATCATAGTAGGTTCCAAAAATATAATTTAACTGATGATATTTGTAATACGCATAAGAATATACATCCAACACATATTTTTGCAATCAATATCTTTGCAAAGATTTCAGCATTTTCAATATTCATTGCAAAACCTGGGAATAGTCTACTGAATTATTGTCAAGGAATGGGCAAGAAAAATATTCATAGGGTAAAATTGTGTGTCTAGCTTTCATTCATAGTTGAAAAGTTCACACAACTTTGAGAATGAAATTGATAGATTTATATGGTATGTAAAAAAAAAGCCTTTGACTATGAGAATTTTATATAATATATGGACACATTCCTCTTCTAGGTCATGATGCCAACCATTCTGTATTTTGATGGAGAATAATTTAATTATTTACCTATCTATGCATGATTGCAATAAACAGTATGAAATTTTGAGAAAAATGATGATTGATTATGCCAAATTGTGCAACATCTAATGATAATATTTTGATTCTTTCTTGTTTTCAATGCTGAACAATGCTTTTTATTTGAAAGTGTGACTGATATTCTAATGGTATACCTTTGACCATTTTTTGGTGTATTCACTAATAAATTATTTGTGTAAAATATATATTCTATGCACTTTTTTTGCCAGAACTACCACTGGTATTATATGAGTTAAATATAGGGAGAGGGGGAGGGAGAGAGAGAGAGAGAGAGAGAGAGAGAGAGAGAGAGAGAGAGAGAGAGAGAGAGAGAGAGAGAGAGATGGGATTGACAGAAGGAGAAAGATGGGAGAGGAGAAGTAAAGATTAACAAAAGAAAGGGAGCAAGAGAGAGCAGGCATATAGGATAACAAATAGAGAATACAGAGATCGAGAGAGGGAGTAGATAAAGAAAAGTATGGTGATGAAGAAGGAGGATAACAAAATAGGAGACTGAGGAGTTGAGAGGCAATTGGGATAAATGATTAAAGATTAAAGACACGGGGCGGGAGATATAAGCAGGAAATGCAGGTGATAATTAAAAGTGGCTATATGTTAGAGGGAGCTATATAGGAGAGAGAGTGAAAGGTTGGGAAAGCGCAGAGAGAGAGATGATAAAGAGGAGGTGGAGGGGAGAGCTGGGTAGCTGCAATTACATGGGTTAGGTACGGAATCATAAATATGTACTCTAATAAGGTGACTCATGAAACAAGGGACAATAAATGCCCCCCAACACACCACAATGGCACTGCCCATAAATTAGCGGGGGATAATTTAATGTTAAAACTAATCTTAATGATTGATTCTATGATAGGCCCTATCTAAAGAATTATTTTTACAACAAAATTATCTTTCCTCTTTGGGTCTTATAGTTGCCCTATCTCTCATGCACAGAGCTCCGTTTCATATTTAGAGATAAGTTAATCCCTCAAGGCTCAGCAGCAGTTACGACCACATTCATATTGAGTTGCCTCAATAGTTCTAGAATATGTTCAGTAAACAAAAGAAAACAATGCCCATTCTTAACATAAACATACTAGTGTATAGTCGTTGACCTTCTGAAAGTAACATTTTGTTTGGTTTAGCACCCCACCAGTACCACACTCCTTCTTTACACTACATTTTCCACCAATAGGAACTAGCACACACAATTTTACGTACGCGTTACGTTACGCACGTATGGTTCTTTCTTTTCACCTATCGCTGCCGAGAAATTCGAAGTACGTAAATTGTAATAAAGATATCGAATGAAATCGGACATATTATCACACTAAATTACATTTCGATTATATTTATATTTAATTGAAATATCAGTTTATATATTGAGGACAATATTGTAGTATTTTGATATTGAGACACATAGATAAAGGTAGATGAATAGACCCCTATTATTGGTAGATGTGTTGTTGCCAGACCAGTCCCATGTACCGATTAATATGTGGGATTTTAAAGGGCTCCATGTCGTTTCACCGACACTTGATACTTGATACTTGATGTGGTAATCCCTGAAGCAGCTTTTCCAAGCTATACTGGAATGGGATGTGTTGTGACAGCAGGTGAAGGTGCAGACAACAAAAGGGTGTACAATTGCTTGTACACCCATTGCTTGTACACCCATTGCTGGTACACACTGCATGTGTACCTCAAAATTGACAACACTACAGAGTCTATATGACATTTTTTCGATGATTATATAATGTTTTGCTTGCCATGTACACATTTTGAAGGACAATTTTTGCAACCCTGCTGTTCTTGCGAAGTTTTGTGGTCGTGCATTTGTCACATTGTTTTTTTTCTTCAACATCGACAACATGGCATGTTTGACTTTCGATGAAATGAACTGCCATTGCCAGTGCAGCATGCAGTGGTGGTATTCTGAGATTCACTTTATCTCGTAAAATACTCCTGAAATATTATTTGATTTTAGAGTCTAGATTTTAAAAACTAAAATGGTATTCTGCATGTGCTGAGAATCATTTTAAATTTAGACGGTCTGCAGTCGGAGAAGAAATTATAACTGGATTGTCTGCCTAAAACAAGGACGCTTGTGTAGATCTAGACCCTACGTCTTTTTCGTTGATTCTGATGAAAATTGGATGAACAATGCGTAGATTTTAGGGGGCTGTATCTGGCGCCAGTGCACTTTTGTATCCCATTTTTACCCGTAACTCTGGCGTGGAGATTGTTCAAATAATGGTCATGATATAGGCCTAAAGTCGATAAATTCCTTACCCCTTTTGTATCAATTTCCTTATCTTTCTTTGAGTATTTTTCCTAAAAACGAAGACAGTATGATATTCACTTTCTCACAGGTTTCACGCAAGCCGCTGCACAATTTATACAATACAATTGCATACTGTACCATACCGATGAAGGGCCAGGGTGTGAGTGTGAAGTCGATTAATACAGTCGATAACTTAACGCACGCTTGCGTGCCCATACCCCTTTGTTGGTACACGGTATGCAATTGTATTGTAATGCCCCCCCCCCCCCCCAATAAAAAGAGATTCGTCGTTGATTACAGCTGTAGTAGTGCTGTGACTTAGGTTTTGAAAAGTGATTTATTATCAACTTCGGATGTTTTTCAAATGGTTTGGTCTTGTAGTGATTGAAAGCTCATTTATTCTTTTGTAATTTCCCCACGTTGTAGAACATGGCGATTCGACATGAGATGGCCGTTGGCCTCAACAAGGGCCACAAGATGACCAAGAACAGCACCGTCAAGAAAGCAACCAGGAAAGGGGTAAGTCCTGTTGCAGGTAGTTGTGATATGACATGGAATATTTGCTCCAATGAGCAGGGGTGGCTTTGACAAGTGACCATAATAATAACACTCACCACACAGTGTTCCTTTAGAAATCATCTGCCCAGGATTTAGTTGCCAATTGACAGCCAATTTATTTCACCCAATATAGAATTTTATATGAATGAGTGCAACTGAGGAACTAGAAGCAGTATTCTTTTTATAGTGTTCAGATAGTATGCATTAATTTTTACTTGGGGCACCCGTTGTACCAAATCTATAGTGCTCTGAATGATTGCAATTGATCCCTCATCCTGGTACAAAATTTCTTAAGTTTTATTGTGATGTATCATCCCCCCCCCCCTCCCGAAAGAAATAAAAGTAATGAATTTTAAAAAGAAAGAAAAGAATTAACATTTTGTTACATAATAATTTTATTGTGTCAGGATTTTGTACATTTTGTTCTAAAAGAAAAATATATTTTTTTATTTTTTTATTGACAGAATTCAATATGACTAAATTGTATGAAACAGTCCTAGCCCCAGGGAGGATGAAGGGTCAAAGAAATGTCACAGTGCATTGTTTAACCATCTGTTCATTTTGTAATGGCACTCCTTATTTTAACTCATTATTTCCAGATTAACAAGCATGCTAAGTTTGTGCGTGACCTGATTCGTGAGGTGACTGGACTTGCTCCATACGAGAAGAGGTGCATGGAGTTCCTCAGGGTGGGCAAGGACAAGAAGGCTCTCAAGTTCTGCAAGAGGAGGGTGAGTTCTCTACACACTCATTATTGTGGCCTTATGTTTAAAGCCTCACTGCACTATTGGTGCCCTCTGTATAGCAAACAATGACTAAGTGGTGACCGTAGGTCCCCCATGGTCCCCTTTTTCTTATGTTAATTGAGAGCTAATTTGATGAGATAACCACCTGTCAGTGACCATGCAGGGAGGTCTAAACCCTACTGGCCAAAGAAGTGCAGATGGGCTTTTAATGAAAGTGCCAGTTAATCCCATCAAAAGTTAGTCGCTGTCTTTAAAACAGCATTGTTTAGATGCTGGTTGTGATTAAGAGGAGAGATCATGGTATTTTGAACAAAATTGAGATGTTGCTTGCTTTTGAAAAAAGTCTGGGTCAGGCATAGTCATTATGTTCCTTTGTTCACCTCAAGAAATATGTAATTTGCAGTCTCATACTCGGGTTGAAGTTCTATCACAGTTATAAAGCAGTTATCTATCTCCAAATCACTCTCCAGAGCTACTATAAGCTCACTCACAAGAAAAAAAATGTTAGTCCATGCAAAGGGTAGACCACTATAGGAAAACAAAAATTATGCATGGTACCAAATAAAGTAAATGTTTTGAACACATGAAGATGTACATGTATGGTTCTATCGGGTCACTTTTAATAGAACTGTTCACATCACTATCACTGGGACTGACTGAAATCTTTTGTTGCCTCTCATTCATTCATGCAGTTGGGAACTCTTGGCCGTGGCCGCAGAAAGCGTGAGGAGATGAACGCCATCTTAGCCGCCCAGAGGAAGGCCGCCTCTGCTGCTGCACAAGCCGCCTCCGCAGCCGAGAAGGCCAAGTAAACCAACAATGACTCATGTGAACAGGATATATGTGGACTCTGTATATATCCTAGGACCTGTTTTATTCCCATCATGGGCCAATATGGAAGAACTTCTAGTTAGTCCTTGTAAATGTGCGGTTTTACGAGAGCTGCATGGGGTCTTCATATTCTTCAAGCTCCGATAGTTGACAGAGGGGTATGATGTCATTTTGCAAACTGATTGGTAGATCTTCAGGTATTGATGTGATCATTTTGTGAATAAAAGAGAGCGGGATATTAACAGAGAAACTTCAGTTGTACATGGTCTCTTTCATTCGTGTTTCATGACTACTAGCTTGTATTGTGCACAGATGTAGAGGGCTGGTAGATTGGGGTTCTAATCAGGGCTGATATTTGTCTATCAGGTAGCACTCGACATTTTAATGGGAGATATTTCCACACTTTCATCACCTCTAAGTCCCACCACATTACATGTACAACTAAACTCAACATAAGTGTTCAAATTCATAAAGCAAATGTACAGCATATTTTGGAAAAAGCTCATTTGCTTAAAAAGGGAAGGTCTGATACTTGTCCTAATGTTTTATTTTTAACACATTGTTTGTATAATTCGGTCACCTATAGATGATCGGTGTGGTAAACAATATGATTTACTTGTGTAAAACCAGAAAAAAAAGTGTGTAAAACTATGAAACGTTTGCACATTTCAGAAACTTGTGTTTCAAATCAATCCAAGAAAATTTCATCCTGCGAAATAATAAAATCATAACCCTGAATTTATGCAATGAAAAGAAGTTTCATATTGCAAAAGATATTGGTTTTACAGTGCTGGTAAAGACTGTTTTTACTTCCCTCAATATGTGTCATTGTCTAATTGTGTTTGATGGGCTTGAAGGTAGTTCTGACTTCTGGATTAGGGTGGCAAAACAAATCGCATATAATCAAACAAAATTTGCTCTGAATTTTCGAGACTACATATTAATTTATGTTTGCAGTCCATATATGCACACGTTTGTGTTGTGCTTTTTAGTGAATATATTTTCCAGGAAAGTCTTCTTTAGTTCGTGTTTGTTAGACAACCCAACTTTAAGTGTACACTTTAAGTGTAAAAACAAAAGCAAAATTCTTTATCTCAAGATACATGTCTTTTACCACAACTAAAAATTAACTAAGACCCTAGGATGCAAATTCCATGCTTGAATACTGAAACTTGACTAAAGAAACCAATGCAGTTTTTACTTATTTATTCAATGGAACCTCGTGTATATGTACATGTATATATTAAAGAGTGAGAAAAGTAAAACAAATTTTCAGGACTAAGAATATTGCCTTGATCCCTTTACATATTCTTTTTAAAAAATCAGGGAAACGAGACTGGCGAAATTACATTGTTACACCTGAATGTAATTATTACAGTTTTCTCTATGATGAGGTTCCATTGTGTATTTAACATATGAATAAAGTGGGCATCAATTATGACAGATTTTGACGTAGAAATTGAACACAAGGAAGACGTCTAACAAAGAATCATATTTATGTTTTTTTTTTCCACATGGAAAAGGCACATGTCAATACATCAGACATGATTTATTTCAAGAATGTTTTTTTTCTCCTCTTTGTACAGAAATGGTTTCTTCTCAGGAATTTCAACATTTCAATAAACACATAAAAAGAGCAGCATCAAAATATTCCATGACAAAACAAATTATTTCTGAAAATGACAATAAATATATTTGGCAACATATAGTTAACCTGAAGAAAGTTAAATGTAATGTGACCAAAGAAAAAAAAATTAACTTCAGCATTATTATTTTTTTAAAACCTTAACAGAAATAAACTATGGTGCAATTAGTGATTAAATTTGATTTGTCTTTATCCCCTTTGTAAGGGACTTCAGAAGCTTCTTGAACGTTTGATTGTATACTGGAGTGTTTCTATCAAAGTATACCACTAAAATATACAGGAAGGCAGGCTTTGTTGGATGCTGGTCTGAAAATCTATGGAATGTTAGCTTTACTGATATATCTTAACAATCTAAACTTGACCTGGTTTTCAAATGAAATTTCAGAATAAAGGGAAAATAGATAAGGAAAAAAGGAGAGAAAAAAAACAAGTTGCTGTTCTAAGATACAAAAAAAAAAGCACTCATCGGTTGCTGAATATGTATTCACCCGATACAAAATTTCATTTGTTGTTTTAAGAATGCATGTATAAACCCCAAATTATAATGTACATTTAAAGTGTACATTAAATTAGTATATACCAACTGTATGTATTGTTACAACTTTTGTGCATTCACAATACAGATATCTACCCAACACAGTCAATTGTCCAATAACATGATAAAGACCAAGTACATCTGAATAAATCTTTTTTTATGCAATCATTTTGAAATATAAAGATATATCTTAAAGAAAAATACACAATTTACATCATTTACATGTCATGAAATATTCAAGTGAAATAATTTTATAAGTTCTTATCATAATGAAATTTACATCTTCATTGTACATTGATTGTTCAACACCTGAGTTTTACATGGGATGTTGATTGATACAAGATGCAATTTATAATTGATATATACATGTACAGTTACAATACATTAACATACATGTTGACAGTCTCTCAGCTTGATACAAGAAATCTACAGATACACGTACATTGATAAGAAAAGGCAAGGACTATCAGAAAATGTACAAGTGTTAGAAAAATAGTAAATATTGATTAAATTTGGTATACCATAAAATAAATATAATGATAGCATATGATATGAAGTTGCTATATCACAAATGACTAAGGCTAATACTGGCACATTATTTTGTCATTGTCCTGTAGCATTGATAGAACATTGATATTCCACATAATAACCCATAATATATTACGAATCTTCCAACATGATTGGTCAAAATTAGGTCACATGACAAAGGATAGAGTGCTTACCATGGTGGGTTGTAGTGACAGTAAAAAACTATCACATAAGGCCTGTCCTCATCAGCTCGAGATTGCCAAATAGCCCGCTATTTCTGATTTGGGAAATAATCCCAAAGTTACAAATCGTGTTTTCATCAACTCGAGACTTGAGCTCGAGATATTTTTGCTCAACGTTCGCGCATAGTGCGAGTCTTTGGGCTGGTGAAGACGCACTGGACAAATAGCGGGATATTTCGCAAACTAGCCCAAGATATCTTGGGATAATCATCTCGATCAAATATCCCACTAATTGCAACTTCGGGCTGATGAGGACAGGCCTATTGATGCCACATAGACGAGCACCCTAAGAACCAATGGTCAAGGTTTCTCAAAATGTTAATGATTTTATAGTCCATCGTAATGCCCAATGAATTGTTATACCGGTACTTTATTACACTCGCCATGATCGTGATGCAGGTCCATGCAGTGTGGAGGTAAGCTGTGCATGGACCATCTTACTGAATAAATATCTTTACAAGGTCCTAGGAAACTTCCTGAAAGTAATTTCTCTGGAGCTGTACCATCTTCCCTACTATTATTCTACCTTCCGGTGAAGATGATAGTCCGGATATCATCTCTGTACAGACAGTTAGTCCCATCAATTAAGAAGTCGGTGATTATTTGATTAGAGAACGGGATCAAACTTTTGACTACCATACTTCAAAAGGTAGAGCTAAGCAATTTAGCTGCAATTTCTATAAAGGATTAACCCTTAAAAAAAGTTCAAAAACTAGACAAAACAACCTGAACATAAGAAAAATTACTATTTTGTAATAATAAGACTAATTTAAATTTGTTAAATAGTACACAAGTTTTAAAAATGCATACCAACCTTAATTACACTACAGAGAGACAACTTAAAGGCCAGTTGGTCCGTTAATATTTTGTACAAAACAATTTTACACGTTTCAGATATTTCCTTGTGTATATCAGCAAAAAACAATGATTGGGGAATGTGCCTTTTTGGTGAAAAAAAAAAATATGTGCTATACAGTGGTAAAGACATAAATAGTACTCAAATTATTTCAAATACATATAAAAAAATAAATATCTAACTTTGACATAAGAATATATATAGCAAAGCGTAAAGTATGAGTTATACAGTGATTCCATTACATGATTCTACTTTTCTACTTCTGGCCTTTGTAACATAAGAGTATACTGGCCAATGAATATCAAAATAACGCTACAATAGAAGATTTTATAATTTTCACAAATGCTAGCTCTGAATTGAGTACTGTTACAAAATAAAGTCCCTAGAAAGATAAGAGAAAGACAAAGAGAGAGAGAGAGAGAGAGAGGAGAGAAAGTGAGAGAGAGAGAGAGACAGACAGACTATAGATGGGAAGAGAGATACAGGGAGAGAAAGAGACAAATATAAAAAATAGAAAAGTATATTGATCATACTTGGCTATAACAGACCTCTTTTTATTCTATTAGCACACATTGCACATGAGGTGTATACATGTATCTCCTCCTCTTTCTTCATAAGAATGAATCGCAGTGACTAGGTATAAGCTAGAGTTTAATTGTAAGTGTGAGTAGTTGTGTCTTATGATTTATTCTTAAAAATCCAGGGTTTTGAAATCCCATATTGGGTGAACCTCGTTAATGTTTTAATACAATTGACACATGCTACTGAACAAGGCCGTATTTGATTGGCTGTGATGAAGTGGGATAGTGGCAGGTGTTTTTCTGAAACATTTTTTAAAGAAACAAGGCCTTGAAGGTGAAGAATGATTAATTTTCAATCTCATTTTCATGCATGCATTTCAAATGAGAGGGTTTAATCCCACATATTGTTAGGCTCTGTATTCAAGAGTTTAATATGAGTACTTACACCTCATAACATAATAACACCTACACTGTATTTCACAAAGTACATTATCATCAGTTAACAGAGCTACTAATTTCAACTTTGTCCCTCTAGGTTTGTGGAGAGTAGAACAATGACCAATAGTCAGCTATACACTGCTCATCTTCACTTCAAAGAACTCTCATAATACCATTACAACACCACATAATCAATTTAGAACGGTTGTCAGCTTTATAACAGACTGGCTGGCAGATGAGCGAATGGCAGCATTTTCCTCCCAAACCCATCCTCTACTTAGAGAGTCGGTTAAAGTTGCGCTTGAGACATATTTGTGCTTCGTGATCCGATAATACTCCAACATTTGCTCCTGGCTTTATTTCATCAAAGACATGGTTATGATTGCGATTCAGTTTTACTGTAATTTGATGGTTACTGTTAGTCTTTAGGTGTAGTGTTTGGTGAAGAGTAAAGTTTAGAAGCTTGGTTAGCAATTAAACTAGCCATGGAGCGATTTGTGCTCTGCATCCGATCAATCCAGTACACCTATCAATGGCTGTAATCCTGCTGTACTTCGAGGCAGTTGATTCTATCCTGAATGATTTCAATTATCAACGTGGTGTAAAGCTTCCAATCAATTGCTTCTAATCCAGAAGACGGACTCTCTCACACTAGGGCAGTATTCAGCAGTGATTAGCGATGATATCTATATCTTTGTTCCTTCAATACTGGATATCCCTCACTTATTTCCTCTTTTTAGGAGAGTCTGTTCTTGTAAGTTCTGGTCTGAGTTCTCGATATTGTTTCTGTTAAAAGAGATACAGAAAAAGGAAGTAGACAATAACTAGATGGAATTTTGACTGCGCGCAGTCGAAAATGATGCCTCCGCCATAGAGCAATTTAAACAAGTTTGGAGTTTAAATCTCCAGTGGTTCTTGAGATATCATGATAACAATCTCAATGTATGGAATTTCATAAGTTGAACTCTGTGACCCTTGACCTTTGACCTACGTGCTCCAAAACCTAATCAGATTGTCTTCCTATAGTGATACACACTATCATTAAGTTTGAAGTTTAAATCTCCAGTGGTTCTTGAGATATTATGATATGGTGATACATACTATCATTAAGTTTGAAGTGAAAATTCTCCAGTGGTTCTTGAGATATCGCGATAACGATCTCAATGTATGGAATTTCATAAGTTGACCTCTGTGACCCTTGACCTTTGACCTACGTGCTCCAAAATCTAATCAGATTGTCTTCCTATGGTGATACACACTATCATTAAGTTTGAAGTTTAAATCTCCAGTGGTTCTTGAGATATTATGATAACAATCTCAATGTATGGAATTTCATAAGTTGACCTCTGTGACCCTTGACCTTTGACCTACGTGCTCCAAAATCTAATCAGATCGTCTTCCTATGGTGATACATACTATCCTTAAGTTTGAAGTTTTTACATCTCCAGTGGTTCTTGAGATATCATGATAACAATCTCAATGTATGGAATTTCATAAGTTGACCTCTATGACCCTTGACCTTTGACCTACGTGCTCCAAAATGTAATCAGATTGTTTTCCTATAGTGATACACACTATCACTAAGTTTGAAGTTTAAATCTCCAGTGGTTCTTGAGATATCATGATAACAATCTCAATGTATGGAATTTCATAAGTTGACCTCTGTGACCCTTGACCTTTGACATACGTGCTCCAAAATCTAATCAGATCGTCTTCCTATGGTGATACATACTATCCTTAAGTTTGAAGTTTAAATCTCAAATGGTTCTTGAGATATCGCGCTAACAAACTCAATACAAGGAATTTCATAAGTTGACCTCTGTGACCTGTGACCTTTGACCTACGTACTCCAAAATCTAATCAGATCGTCTTCCTATGGTGATAAATACTATTCCCGAGTCTTAAGTTTAAATCTTAAATGGTTCTTGAGATATTGTGATAACGGTCAAACGGGACGGACGTACGGACGTACAGACGTACGGACGTACGGACGGACAACCCGAAAACATGATGCCTCCGGCACCACCTTCGGTGGCGGAGGCATAAAAACTATACATTAATTACTTTACTACACCTAAACAATAATATTTCACCTATGTGTACCATGATACTATTTCTCTTGTATGCATTGGTATTTCTACCATCAGGCAAGTTTATGCATACCAATTCTCCCCCTCCCCCCTCACACATAGATTTTTTTTTTAATTCCATCTCTTTACATAGCTATAATACAATTTCAGAATGATGGAAACACTGCACCTGTATTCTTGCATTTTTTTTTAAAGCTCCTTCCTTTATTTTCCTTATTTTTTACAAATTTCTTGTACATTTATACAATTTTTTTAAAGACTATGGATATAAAAACTTACGAGCTGAGTATCCGACGGAAGTCTGGACAGGAAGTCTAGAAGCTCATTGTTTGGAATGGCATGGGGCGCGCGAATCTTCTTGGTGAACTTGTTGATACCTAACAGAAAAAAAAGGATAAAAAACAAAGATATTATTGTACACATTATTAACATAAATTTTGGATTTATTAAATGAGCACAATCATAAGCACAATACACTTCTAATTTAGCAGAACTCAAATCAAATACATTGTAATCCAACAACAGATTTATCCACAGAACTTTGACCCTTGAATCAAGGTCAAAGTTATCTAGATAACATAGACCTTAGTGATCTAAAGGGTTGACCTTAAAGTAGACAACCATCTTTGTCAACATTAGTAACAGCCCAGTTAAAGGAGCACTTATATGTAAACTGGACTTGAAACAAATTCAGTCAATCAGTACCTGTGAATGAGCTTTTGAAATCTAAAAGACACATATCTAGTCTCTTGCGAGAATGCTGATTGCTTTAATATCTATGATCATATAAACCTACAACTTTTGGTAAAATAAAATCCATGAATTAGTGATTGGCCGGCTTTGACTTACCCCAAGCAAGGAGGAGGTATCTAAGAGGTATAAAGTAGAGGACAATAGTGACTACACACAGGACTATGATAGCCATAAAGGACAACCACGGCACGGTGAAGTTGAAGGTGCTGAAATCAACAAGAAACAAAAGATGCATTAGAATACTGATCGTTGTAATGTTAAGATAAATTATTGACACTTTACATTTGAAATTTTATTCTAACAATAAAAATTGGAGAGAAAATGAATGCATGCTACAGTCTCTTTGAATAATTTGAATTATCAAAACGAAATTATCTCCTGTATTTAATACTCTTAGATTTTACATTTACATTTAAGGGTTATGTTTCAGAATGAAATTATTTCTGGAACTTACCAAACATTTGCAAGGCCTAACAAAAAGTGAGAAAAAAACTTGGAGTAAGTAAATAAGACTGAAAGGTTAAGCTTGAAATAATGTGAATCCGTAGTAAAGAAAGGTATAGCTGAACAATTTTTCCTGCATTAACAAGTTTCTTTAAGGAACGCTTTCCATGGTATTCAGACGATACTTACTTCTTGATGCGTTCTCCCAGGCATGCTACTTGATCTAGTGTATTCTGTATGGTCTGACATACCCTCTCTATCGCTTGTAACTTCTCCTTGAAGCTTCTTTTACTCTCCTGTATCAAGTACAACAAATAAAGACATTTCAACCATTCATCTCTTACTGCTGTTGGTGAGAAATTCAGCTGCTTTGATATGTTCTAGGTACCTACAAGTTTTAGTAAATTTTTACCTTGTAATATTTGGCAGGGGCGAATGTTAATAAAATATATTGGAGAAGTGTCGTAGTCAAGTGGTTTAAGCGCTTGACTTGCAATTGAAAGGTCGTGGTTCGATCCCTGATACGGCACTAATGTCCTTTGGCAAGGCATTAATCTTCATTTGCCACACTCGACTCAGGTGAGGTAAATGGGTACCTGGCAGGAATTAATTCCTTGAAATGCTAGAGCGCTGTAATGGCAGCTAGGCTAAAGCCGGGGTAATAGAATTTCCAGATAGATGGCGCTATAGAAATGCCTATTATTATTATATTGAATTTGATTTTTTATAATTTTACAATCAATAGAGGGGAAAGTGAGCAATATTGGTGTTCACTCCTGTATACGTTTACACTCTCATCCTGTTAATACAAAACAGGCCAAATATAAGATGTGCAAAATTACCATTCTTTACATTAACATGTCTGCCCACCTTATAAAGGCAGAACATATATATTATATATTGAGATAGATCATATGTTGCACTATTTGATGTATTGCTGCGTTATGAGAAATGAAAACCACTGCAAAGCTGAAAAGAAAGAGGTTATGTTATTAAAGAGGAATTAGATATGTAAATGACAAGCAGAAAAATAAAAGGAACAAAGTCCAGCTCAAGTGCCTCATTTAAAATAATTTCTAGCTGAAAAAATATTACAATGCAAATAGTAATATAAATGTATTATATGTATTCTAAGGATGCTATCAGAAGTAATACTATCATGCAGTGATCTAATGATCAATATATTCATACCAGTTATAGTGTAAATAAAAACTGGTATGGAATACTGATAATCTTGTGCTTAGTAAGTGTGTATGGCTATGAATGTTTGAAAATAACTTTGAAATTTTAATATATATGTGGTTACCTAATTGATCTTGTGCTGGTTTAGAAGCCTACAATTCACAAACAGTACTTTGGTTTTTGATATTTTATTTAAAATGGTTGCCTTCTGGCAGCCAATCAAGATAAAAGTTTCTACGTTTCTCTAATTTACAGGGTTATTATAAATGACTGACAACAAAACACTGCAAAAGACTGAATTCCATATAGAGGTTAGTTTTTAAAATATCAATGGGCATACATCTGTTCTTAAATATAAGTTCTATAATAATTTGCACCTCATGCCATCACTTTTGTATGGCCTAAACACTATTTGTAGATATACCATATTATTCATATTTACAATATAATATATTGTGATGCTCATAATCAAAATATGGAGTGATCTTCATATTTCTTATAGCAATGCAGAGTCTCTGAAATGGAACTTTATTTGACAGAAAACTATTTTTGCTATACCACATAATTCATGCAACAATGTGGTGCCAACAGATATTTAACATGCATTGTGCAAAAAGACAGATAATTGTAGGATTGGGGGGAAAAAGTTGTTGATATTTTTAAACTGCTATTGATAGAGGCTGGACAGAACAAGAAACTAGAGCTCAGGCAAGATATATTAATTAGCTAAAAACTACAATGTTCACTTCAATATGATACATTCATTCTATTCTTGATGCATGCATTATCAATTTACATGCTATTCTAATGTGTCATATTCAACACTCTGTTATTAAAGTTGCTCATTCGTGGGTATGTAGAGGACAACATACGGAGGTACGCACAGGAGTGTAATACCTGTTGGCTCATTGTTATGTAGTAGTTGCCAAGTTGCCTACTTCACAAATGACTATATACCCATGCTTGAGCATCTTGAACATAACTTGAGAGCAAGAAGGGCCTTGATAAACTTGTACCCATTGATACAAAGTTAACACCCTTCAAACTCTCAACAGATGATATAATAAAAAGAAATATAACCCTTGGTCACAAAGTGCTTGACACTTATGTCACATCTTTCCACTCTTCATTTGAAATATTGTCCTTAAGCCTGTGCCTATGTTTGTTTTTGTTTCTATTTTATGCTTTCATCCACAACTAGCAATTTTTTTTTAATAAGAAATAGAAAATACGAAAGAAAACATAGATTATGAATTACCACCCATTTACTTCCTTACTGACAGATCATGAATCCTTTATAATTTGATCCTCATCCTTTACTTTCACCAATATCAAGAAATTAAAGAAACACCATTCTTCTGAAGAAAAAAACACACACATCAAATTTACTTTACACTTAAGGTGTCTGAGGTTTTCAGAAGTCCCTTTTTATCTCAATATTTTCTAGCTGTACTTTACCTGCATAAAGTTTGCATAATGTTAACACAATAATAACAATAATAATATAATAATAATAACATTTATAATTTATAATCACAAAATATAAGTAAGAAATACATGAATATGCAGAAATGTATAGGAAGAATAGTTCGAACTACACACTAATGGGGCACAAACTGCAACCAACTTTGTCACTTACCGTTTTCTTTTCCTTTTTCTAGTGATAAGCACAAGGGGTAACAATTATCAAAAGAGGGGTAGGTAGATGGTAGCAAAAAGGGTTGAAAACCAGGGACAGGGGTGAGGTGTGAGACATCAAAATGTGTATAAGGTAAGAACAGGTGGCATCCATTTAAAAGTGTTCAGTATAAAAGTGTTTAGAGTTAGTTTGTGGTGGTGTGGGACAGCATGATTTGAGGGTCGTTAAGAGACAAGAGAGACAGGGAGACACAGGTAGTGATGGGGATGTAGAAGGAGAGATAGTAAGAGAGGGAGAGGAGAGTTGAGTAGAATAAGAAATAGACAGAGAGAGAGAGAGAGAGAGAGAGAGAGGGAGAAAGGAAAGGGAAAGAAATTAAAAATGTTTAAAAAAGAAAACAAAGACGAGGAAAAGAGGGAAGAGGAGAGAGGAAGGAAGGGAGGGAGAGAGAGACAGGGAAAGGTGGAGTGGGAGAGAAAGTGGCAGAAAGTGTGAGAAAAGGGAGATAGAATGAGTGAAAATGGGAAAGATAGAATGGGTAAGAGAGAAGGGGAGAGGAGGAAACCAGACCAGTCATGTGAGGTGAGGGGGGGGGGGGGGTGAGGAAAGGATGTGAGACAATTGCATTAGTTTAAGCGACAAACTATCAAGTGCACAGGCACTAGTGAAACAATGGGAACCGATAAATCAAATCATTGCATGCCACTTTCAAATGTTTCACTGTTACCATGACAACACAATGGAATGAATTATCTCTCCACCCCTAATCAATCTCAAAAACTAATTTTAACATACCGGTATAACAAATTTTGCATGGAAACTATTATAGTAACGGGTAAAAATTAATGTCAATGAAGCAAGGTACATGTACAGTTTTAATAATTTCAGGACAAGCATTTCTTTGTTATTGGGTTTTAAACAAGTACATTTGATACTAGTACATGTTTGTTTGCAAAGCATACTGTTACAATTTCCTTCAATATTTACATCTAATGTTGATTTCAATATGAAAGCTATTGAGAAAACTTACGCAATAAAACTTTCATAATCAATTGATCTCAAATAAATGTATAGTAATTCATACCGATTCAAAAAAAAAAAAAAAAAGGCATTTTAAATGCAATGCATACAGCTGTATAATTGAGTACATTTTTAAATTACTGTATAAAAGTGATGAAATAAATTAAATTATATTTTGTACAAGCAATATATGGTATTACCAATAGAGAGCATGAATTTATAACAGATGGAAAGATATATGTACACACAGCAAGTTCGACATGCCTCAACATTTGAAAAATGTACAAACCTATTTTATATTACAGTGTTTAGAGCTGTAATTAATTGACATGTTTTATTTATCTATGGAATAAATAAATAAACAAAGGAAAAGAAATAATTAACATGTTACATTGCAGTCAATACTGAACAAGAAAATCCTGATTGCCATCTCTCTTTTTTAAATTTTAAAAGATGCATGTCTAGCACTTTGCATTATCCATTGGTATTGGAAGCATAAACCATTATTGCCTGATACTATATTACTTATTCAGTTTGTATTGAATACAAATATCCAACAGGTTTCATGAGGTTATCTCAAGCTAAAAGGGGAGTTATAATGTACCCTTTTTTTTTTTAATGGATAAGTGTTGAAAGAGTAAAAAGGAGGATAAATTCTGTTTTAATCAATTTATAGGAAATCTTTAATACTCCGTGTGTGTGTGTGTGAAAAGGTGAAAGAATGATTTCAAATTTTGGACAACTGCCTATTTATAAATAGACTGTTGTCAAAAATGTTAAAGTTAGTTGAATTGACTAGCACAAGTTTTATTTCATTCTTTCTACATCAATGTAACTACATATCTGTCAGTGTATGGAACCAAACACTATAGTTACCTGACAAAATGACAAGACATGCAACATTTTACAATAATATTTCATTCAACAATCAGAAGCGTGCATATCATTTGAACATAGCCAATGAACATACAATCACATCCAACTAGTGTAACGGATAAGCCTATCTATTAGATTCAACCATAGGGTATTGAGAGAGATAGTTGCGGCACACGCATATACGCATACGCAATCACAGTCATGGGTTAAATCATAGAGCTCCAAGTAGTTCCCTCCTATGTACAATCTCTACAGGGGGGAACTATTTGTAGCTCCTTGAAATGACTGACCAATCGAAAGCAACTTCCAGTGATGCAACTATCTCTCTAAACAAGCCACGGCTTCAACTATAAAGGGTAATAGTGTACAGTATTGATACTCAGTGCACGCAACAAAATCTGACCAGAACGTGCTTTGGAAAGAAAGCAGATAGAGTCAGTACGCATCTGTGCAATTAAAGGCCAAATACATGTACAAACCTGTCTTTAGTGACTGCCCAAGGGAAACACAAAAGGGGTCTTTGTAGACGGGTTCCTTTAGAACATGTTTCAATGAGACACCATTTTCAAGGGAAACAAAAAATGTGGTCTTTGTAGACAGGTGGTCACTAAAGCAGGTTTGACTGTAGTTGTAATCACAGTAAAAGTTATGCCTCAGTGAGGATTGATAGCAGAGCCAGGTATTAGTTTGTTACATTTCACTTTCAAGAATCGCTAGTGAGTTGGGCCTTGAGTTGGGGTTCCTCCCAAAACTGGTCATGGGAAGATGTTGCATTGGAGTACCAAGTCTACTACAGTGAAACCTGTCTATAAAGACCACACAAGGAAAACAAAAAATGTGGTCTTTATAGGCAGGTGGTCTTTCTATACAGGTGGTCTTTCTATACAGGTGGCCGCTATTAAAAGCAGGTTTAACTGTATTTATAATTACCTTGTCTTTTTCTTCTGCTTCATCTTCATCTCCTGAGCTATCCTCATAGTCCTTCAATAAGAGAGAAATGGATGCAGGGAAAGATACAAGAGAGAGAGAGAGAGGAGGGATGAATTAGGGTTCAACAATCATGCCACGTCTACAGTCTGTCTTTAGTAATCTCAAAATGCACATAAATGCACATATATATATACTTGATATGATACAGGTACATGTATATCATGTTTTCATTTTGTCTCCAGTATCTACAAATTGCATATAATTGCAGATAGGGAAGAGCTCTAGATATATGTTTATGTTTTATAACTGTCCACATTCAATGAATAATAAGATCTACCCTTACCATCTATTTCATTCCCTTATTCATGCTTGGGGAGAAAAGGTTTACTACTCTAGAAATCCATGCATTATTATGATTCAGTGCAGAAATACAGTAACATCAAGGTCAAGACCTATGACACGGTCATAGAACTAGTTACAAGGGTGCAATCTGAAGTATGTGAACAGACCTTATAGATTGTGTCTACTTAAAATGCAAATTGCTGTAACTCAAAAATCATTTTTATTCTAAAATAACGTGAAGTAATATAATGTCAAAAATACTTTAGAAATACAAACCCAGAAACAATGTGAAGAAGATTCTGTAACTCAATTGATATGCCAAGAATATTGAGAAAAAAAATTGATATGACTTTCCTAAAAGAAGGTAGTACAGACTCAATATCAAACAATCTAGCTGTTATATTAGCAAAGGTATATGACACCTAAAATTCTAAAGGTCAGACTGAAACTACTACATCTGGGATAAAAAAAAAAAAAATCAATTTACACAACTCTGCTTCTCTTGATTCATATTCAATACCTCAAAAAAGGTGACAATATAGTATATGCTTCGATGTCATTTATCAAATATTCATGTTTCTGATTTTTAAAAAGAAGATAAAACAGGTTTGCCATATTAGGCAAATCATTCTTTAAAAACTTGATTTTTGTTCTGAAGATTCAATCAACAAATTCTGACAAAATGTTTTTTTTTTGGAATAATTTTTCTGATGAGTTTCCATGGGCCAAAGGGAAATACTGTCCACAAACTGGTTTTTAAAAACTTGTTATCGATAAAAAAAAATCTGCTTATAGCAGATCAAATGCAATGATTTCAGCAGCTTTTTAATGGTGTAACTTGTTATTGTTTCATAAAAAAGGGTCCAGCATTTATTTTATGCAGACTTACATCCTCATCTGGTGGTTTTGAGTATGAAGAGACAATCCATTGCTCTACAAACTTCCATGTGAAGAGCATGAGGATAGCCAGGGGAGCCATGTATAACTGAAAGTTCCATACTATGATCAGAAAGGCCTGCAGAAGGGGGGATTTAAAAATTGATGAGAGGTAACAAAGATAGTCATTAGTTCCTTAGTTTTCCTTTCTGTTTTTATGGATTGAAAATCAAATAGAATCGAGAGATATAATATAATATAAATAAAAAGTTGACTAAACAAATGAAAATGTTGCAAATAAAATTGATACATGTATATCAAAAGTAAAGCAGTTTCAAAGTCATAAGTCTATTTATGAAAATGTTTAGTAAGTTTACTATTTCTTTATGCCACTCTGTATTCTTTATCCTTGTGAAAATGATCATAAGTTAACAATGGCAAAGTAATGATCATCTTTTTTGCAGGTTAAAATAGTTTTTGAAAGTCATACTCAACTTGATCTTCATAGTTAACAATTTTTCGAAACCAATGAACATGAAAACTGGTGTGGCAAGATTATAGTGGGACAAAATAGAGAAACAGAAGAGAAAAAGAAAGAGAAGGGCAGAAAAAAGAAAGTTTCAAGAGAGAATTAAAAAAAGAACACAGCAGTTTAGCAGATTGGAAAATGTGGCAGACAGACAAAGAAAGAAAGAAAAAAAAAAGGAGAGAGAAATACTAGGAAAGAGAAAAAGAAAGAGATAGAAAGAGAGAGGGAGGGAGAGAGACAGGGAGAGAGACAGAGAGAGAGAGAGAGACAGAGATAGAGAGAGAGAGAGAGAGAGAGAGAGAGAGAGAGAGAGAGAGAGAGAGAGAGAGAGGGGGTTTAAAAGATATTAAAGTGATTATGGCATACTTACAACAAAAGCAATGATTGTGCGTAGCTTGCTGTCCCATTGAAAGCAGCTATTGATGAATCTCCCAACACTCACTATGTCTGTAACCATGTTACTCACTCTAGACAGGTTGTTTTGTAGTACCTTCAGGGGAACAAAGAAAATAATTGTTATCATTCATCTTTCTCTAATTTCTTGTTTCACTCATGCCTTAATCTAAAAGGATATGAAAACAATTTTGACATCAAATTAGCATTTAGTATTGCACAATTTTAAAAATTAATACAAGTAGCATAATATACATGTGTCTCAAAATAAAAGGCCAGCAAATCCATAATAGAAAGCTTCTTTCTTGCCAAAAAGGTCTCATGTGACTTCAGATCACAAAGTGTGTCATTTTATATCCATCAAAGAAATTAAAAGGGTCAAAAACAATTCAGGTTTAGTACTACAAATCTCTTGAAATATCCAAACCAAGCTTCATGGGGAGCTGTTATTTACTTATGCGCACCTGCACCTGCAAACACTTTTGAACAGTATCCCATCTCATATGAAGGAAGCATCCACAGTTATAAGTTTAAACTCTTCTTAAAACATACTTGTTTAAACAGCAGTTTGACAGAGTTACAGTCGGAGATTTACAGCACCTATTTCTCCCTTTTATATCTTTTTTCCTAAGCACACAGGAAGCAACGGCAGTCATATGCAGTCTCAGAGCAATGCAGTATTTATTATTATACTGTCAAACCTGCTTTAGTGACCACCTGTCTACAAAGGGCACATTTGTTGTTTCCCTTGAAAATAGTTTCTCATTGAATCATGTACTAAAGGAACCTGTCTACAAAGGCCACTTTTGTGTTTCCCTTGGGTGGTTGCTTTAGACGGGTTTGACTGTATTATTACATAACCATCATTCCTTGCATGAGAATGATAAATCAACTCACTGATATCTTGAATCTTTGTTCCTGTTCCATATACTTGTCCTCTCTGGGATTGAATGTCCTGACAGCAGCCTTGATCTACAAACACAAACATATTAAATAGAAAGATCAATGTCACTACAATAGCAAGATAATGAAATACTGGACTGTCTTATTTTATATTGCATTAAATATCATGCTGAAATGAAGAGACATGCTTTCATTTCATTTCATTTCATTTATTGACCATTTAACAAAATAAAAATATATACAATTAGAAGAATAATATCAAAGAACAACAACATGAAAAGTAATAATGGCCAGGGCCCCTAAGAAGCAATTCATACATCATTAAAAAAATATATTTCACACATACATGTACGATATCTCTATTGAATGAAATTGTCTGGTAAGGAGAGAAATTTAGGCAATGATACAACAGTGACCTACTAAATCACTATCTTAAAATGACTGACAATGCAAAGGGAATGATCAGTATAGCACAAGTCATAAAACATGTTAATAAGCCCTACATGATGTGGAGGTAAAAACTAAAATATCTTGGCTCCCAAATGGGTCAAGTAAGTTCTAATATGGACTTAAATTCATCATTTTGGTTGGTTGGGGTAAGTGGGCAAGTAGACTTGTAGCACTGGGAGCCTGCTCTTTGCTTGGTTGTAGGAGATCAAGTAATTTATTTATATCACCAATATTCTTACATCATTGTAGATGAAGTCCAGCTCCAGTAGAATAGATCCTTTTGCTCTTCTCTTCAGCTTCTTGTCCTTCAAGGTGTACGGTCTCCTCTCTCCACATTTCACCTGCAAATTGACAACACAAACCAAAGCAATGGGAACTATCATAAATGGCTATCTATTTACTCCAGTGAATTTTATTCCATGTTTTATTAATTTCTACTGGATAAAGGGTTAGGCTTGGAAATGGACCGGGTGTTTGGATAGGTGAATGTATAGGAGTAGGTTTAACGTTAGGTTTCAGGTTAGAGTCAGAATTATGTATAGTGTTGGGTCCAGAGTTAATGTTAAGGGTTTGACTGATGTTGAGAGAAATCAACTGCAGACCAATCTTGCATGGACTAAATGTTGTGGAATCGGTATGACAGGAAAACTCAAAGCCACAGGTTCTCTGGGCCTCTTGTACATATAGCTTACCTATGAGCATATACGTAATTTCACACAAGCCGCTAGAATATGATATCACATGATCTTCAAATCACGTCAGAGAAGTAACTAAATGAAATTCTCTTTTATATCGCAGTCTACTTTCATAGAAATTTGGGATAAAGATGGGATACATGTTTCCATAATTTTCACCAGTCTAATTAGTTTTCAACCATGTACCTAATTTCCTGTTCTTTGATTGACTTACCTTCAAAATTGGAATGGCCACTTTCCCCAGGAACTCAGGACTACCATGCTTATCTTCATCATACACAGTCACCTCTAACACTGAGTGGATGTCCTTGATTTGACTACAGAAAGAGAGGAGGGAGATAAGAGAGGGAGAGAAAGAGGTAGAGAGGTAGATAAGGCCAGAGAGAAGGGGGAGGAGAGAGAGAAAAAGAGAGATAAGAGGAAGAGAAAGAGAGAGAGAGACAGGTAAAGGCTAGAGAGAAGGGGAGGAGAGAGAGAGAGAGAAAGGGAGAGGGAGAGGGAGAGACAAAGACAGAGAAAGAGAGAAAGAGAGAAGAGAGAAAGAGTGATAAAAACAAGAGGGACAAGAGGGGAAGAGAGGGAGACAAAGAGATAATGTGGGAGAGGGAGAGAGAGGATGACAAAATTATACATACAAAATAAATCATGCAAGCCACTATGCAGACAATATCTAAAATAGGATTATTCTAATATCTAGAACAAGATTATCCTGGCAGATATTGTCAACCGTGCAATATCGGATAGCTTAATAATTTAATTTTATAGGGCAGGTATTCTGAAACCTTTTCTTACTGTGAAAGGTCTTTAAATGTCACATTAGACTCTGTATCACGATAAGGGATATGATTATTACCTGCATACAAGTGTTTTTACACAAAGAAAAGAATTCACAAGGTATCTGTGCCAGCAAAAAATGAAATTGTTTCTTCCATACAATCTAAAATCTTTGACACTCAAAAGCCCCCTCACTCTCAAAGATAACATATTTTCCAGAATACTACTGCTGAGTCAATCGTTATGCTCTATACAAATGCCATGCCTGATACAACTACAAAGCATATTGAAGAAGCAATTAAAAACTACTCTGAACCAGGGGGTTATTTTGCTCGTCACAAGATATCAACCTGCCATCTCACTCTGTCGTCACTGTCACTGTTGGCAATCAATGGCTCAAAGATATAGAAATTTATTTAAAAGCCCAAAGAGATATTGCAAAAATAATACTAATTACAAAGAGTGGAAGATAGAGAGAGTGACTCATTTGTAATCTTGAGATAATCCAGTCGATACCTGATAAGAAAATAGAAGGTGTAGTCGCAAATGATCATTTAAATTTCATCATCGATGAAAAAACAGATAAATCTATCGTTTTAATCAACATCTTATGCGATCTAAATATGACCTTAATTAATGACCTCAGATATCAAATAAGTTAAAATCTATAATGACATTTTTTTAAATGGCAAAAAGGAAAAAAAATGTTTGGCTATGAACTAAATTTCATACTGCTAGAACATGAAGAGATAAGAAAGAGAGAGAGAGAGAGAGAGAGAGAGAGAGAGAGAGAGAATTTCTAAACTCAACTGTAAAGAATTTTACAACTACGAAGGTTCAAAGGATATATATGTTTACACCTAATAAAATAGAAGATTGGAATATATATATATCTTCCTTCTCTTCCCCTTATAATAAACAAAAGGTATGACTCTGGGAAAGTATGTGAGTGTGTGTGTGTGTGTGTGTGTGTGTGTATGTTTATGGGTGCATGAGTGCGTGCCTGTTTTGTAGTTTTAAGATGATATTATATTTTATATTGCTGCTTTTACTCTGTTAATTTTTCAAAAATAACAATAAAAACAGAAGAAAAAAAAAAAAAAAAAAAAAAAAAAAAAAAAAAGGTATGACTTACAATGTGAAGACTTTTCCCCACTCTGGATGTAATGTTTTGTAGACTGTTTGAGTCTGAAGTCTGGCGTTGACCAGCTCTAACACACAGAATGGATCACTCTTTCCTGCAGAGAGAGAAATGATCAGTAAATACAAGTGAATTATGAAAAGAATCTTATGATGCAATATTGCATACCAAAAGATGAATAAAAGATAATCACCTAATAATAAAACACCTACATAATATTCTTTCAGACTCTGATATATAAAATTCAGTAACACAAAATGAAGTAAAATAATGAGTATTACAATGTAAAGTGCTTAAAAACATAGTACACTATACCAGTATATAATATTTGTTTCCATAATGCACATGAACAACATAAACAAATACTTTGAAATACAGGAATGGAAAAAGACAATTTATATTTAAACAGCGTTATCTTTCACCAATAGTCACTTACAATATTGTTAAAACAAGACAAGTTTAAATCCACAAGTGTATTATGTCAATTATTAATAAGATGAAGAAACATACCTCCAATATCAGCTGCTTGTAGAGATTGTGCTCTGATTACTGTGGAAATGAAAGGGTAACAAAATGTAAAATGCAACATGTTCATTTTAAAAACATAAGCATGGCATAAATAAAACACTTAGATTAAGTTCCTTTGGGGAATTTTTTTTTAAAAATCTCAATTTTTAGACAATTTATGCATATTAATTTTGAAAGAATTTTAAATTTTGAATTAAGGATGTAGAAATAATTTGTGTCATAAAAGACTACACACTATGTCCATTATGAAGCTAAAAGTGTATCTGTGATTCACAGCAGAGAGCACTATTCTGATTAAGGAACAAGGTTTTGTCCAAACCAGAATTTACGTAACTTTGTGGTATTTACAAAAACATTATTTACTGTTACACAAAGCTTAGCAATTGATTGTATGATAGATTGATCAATCGTATAACCAATTTATTTATTGCAAAATAGCAATCAACTGTCTAACTTGTCTTTGTGCTACGGGGCTCAGGTATTTCATGAATTATGCATTTTTAAATAAACATGTATATTTTTTTCACCTTTGACCTGTAACCAGCCCACATCTTTGACGTCTTTGAATGAATTCAGAAGTCCCTAGAAAAAATGAACGCAGAATAACAAAGTGATTTCATGTTGTGAATTTGAACTTTACATATTATTAACAATGAATTAATGAAAATCTATCACTTGACAGAATAGCATCTTAAAGCAACATATGGTATAAAGAAGGCACACAAAAATCATTAAAGAAATTTATGTATGCCACCATGAGATTACACTACATAACTACAGAACTACACTGTATGCATGGATAAAATGTAAAGACATTAAACTACAATCAGGATTATATTGACTTGTTATCTTAACAAAACAAAACATACAGCTGCAAGAGCTTAATTTGTTCAGTTTATAGAATAAAATATTCATTGAAAGGTACACAAGTATGATACTTAAATTGACATTAAAATGAACAAGCACTTAAAACCTTAGAGTATATTCAAATTGTTACGATCAATTCTTTAATGTTAAAGCGGGACTGCACTACTTGTAGCTACTTGCGCGCTCTATAAGGTCAACAATGCCTTAGCGGTACTCATTGATCCCCCATGGTCCCCTTTTTCTTATGATAATTGAGAGCTGATTTAATGAGATAACCACCTGTCAGTGACCCGGCAGAGAAGTCTAATCCCTCCTGGCCAAACTAGTGCAGATTAGAGTAATATAATCAATAAAGCAAACTAAACCCTAAGATTGTGGTGTAGATGAGCAGCTTACATATTTGAGGCACAGCTCCCTCTTGAGGTTAGGATCGTGTTTGTAGTTAGCAAGGTCCGAGACATTCTCTGTTCCTACGGTACCACTGATGGTCAGTAAGATGTCCAGAGTGCCTGCATTGTCCTCTAACTCAATGGACAGCTGGTGGGTCTGCTCCATGTCAAGGGTCGCAACGTCAATATGTGACCTACAAATAGAAAGAAAAAAAAATTCTTCCAATTATTATTACTATGGCATTACTTTCAAAGTCTTTGATAATATCAAATGAAATTTTTTTTAAATTTCGCATGCAAGGAACAGGTATTAATCAGAATAAATAAAGTACAAAACTGTTAAATCAATTCTGAAAAACTTGTGTTGGGAGGACTAACATACTACATCCAACTATTTCTTAATTGTCATATCTTACACAATCTTTTTCCCCATTAGCCTGAATTACTATCATCATCACCATCTCTACCACCATTATCATTATCAGCATAAACATCCTAACCGCCTCCACCACCACCACCACCACCACCACCACCACCACCACCACCAACATCATCACCACCTACACCACCACCACCACCATCACCACCACCACCATCAACATCATCACCACCACCACCACCGTCATCGTTGTTGTCACCACCACCACCACCACCACCACCACCACCACCACCACCACCAACACCACCACCACCACCATCATCACCACCACCACCACCACCACCACCACCACCACCACCATCATCATCATCATCATCATCATCATCATCACTATCATCATCATCATCACCATTATCAGAATCACCACCATCACTTTTATCCCTACCTTCCCATGATATCATCCTTAGATCCTAAGTCTTTATCCCAGACTGAGATTTCCAGTGATGAAGATTGTTCCTCATACATCCTAAGATCAAACTGCTCCATCCACTTGGGATTCAAGGTTTTACTCTCCACCTATTTAAATAAAATCAAAAGTTGTTCAATGATTACACTTGAAAAATAAACTATAAACTGATAATAAAACAACTATCATTTTTTTAAGGAAAAAGACAACTTTATGACCTGAAAGGAATTTTATCATAATGAAACTTACCACAGCATCTCAGTACTTCCTTCCCCCCTCTCATTAAATTCTTTTTAGTTATTCACTGAATTAAAAGAAAAGAGTAATATATCAACCCCAAAATCTGTTTCAAAGTTCACACAAAACTATAACTTGTGATGACTACATAGTGAACAAAGGATGTTGTAATATGTATAGTGTAACTGTATAATACATTTCAGATGTTTCTGATTGATATCAAATTCTAAGGCAAATATTCATGAAAAGGGTTAAATTTAAGTCAAATTTTAAACCATGAATAATGCATCAGATTAATCCACTGATCTATGGACAGCCAACTGTCAATATCTTCAGATGATAAGATTCATGCAATTCTGCAACTTACTGGAAATACATGTCATGTCACATTTTAAAGTTTTGTTTTTGTTTTGTTTGACTTCATCTCTACAATCCTTATCAATATGTACACTGTAAAAAGTAAATATATTGTAAACTATGTTGAGAACTACAGTGTATGAATTCAAAGAATAAAAAATATAACAAATTTGTGTCTACTGTCTATTTAGACTTTAAATTTCTGAGTGAATGAATTAAACATTGGATATTAAATGTTTACACATTTAACTTTCATTTGAACTACACTTTCAGAGCATCAAATATTACAAGCTATTTTCTGAACAGAAATCTAAATTCAGCATCAAATTATCCCACTCTTGAATGTTCAAGTATCTATTAAAAAGGTCTCTTGCATGTGAATTGGCAATTAAATTGGCAATAAAACCCAACACAGGATACCGGATTTTAATGATTTAAAGGGTACCCACAAAATTGCTGGTACATGTATTTAATACAAATCATCTGCACCAGCCAGAAAAGAATTAACTTAACCAAATATCATAGGAATTGATACTCTTCTCGTCACAGAAAACAATATAAAGACATACCCTGGATTTTCTCCACCCAGTTTGAACTTGACAAAAGGGTCGCCCAGTCCATTATCATTCATGGGGACCATGTTTCATCCCCTCAGGAGGGACAAAACACAGACAAGACAGCCAGAAGGGGATAAACTCAACCTATATTTATAAAAAATAAAAATCTTTCTGGCTCTCAGAGTAGTCCAAATAATGTAAAAAATAAAAAAACGTACCCTGGATTTCCACTTCTCTCCACCTAGTTTGAACTTGACATAGGGGTCGCTCAGTCCATTATCATCCATGGGGACCATGTTTCGTCCCTCCAGGAGAGTGATGGTGACCACGCCTATCCATGTTTGGGATTTCCCTTTCCTCTGACTCCCTGATCTCGCTTCATTGTCTCGTCTCAGCCTCAGATTGAACTGCAGAAAAAAGAAAGTTAAATGACAAAAAACATCTGAAAATTAGTTGAGAACTGAAGAACATTTTGGTTCATATTCTACTAGTTCAGTTAAAGTGGGTCTGCACTACTTGTAGCTACTTGCGCCCTCTACAGAGCCAACAATGCCTTAGCTGTACCCGTTGATCCCCATGGTCCTCTTTTAAAAATGTTAATTGAGAGCTGATTTGATGAGATAACCACCTGTCAGTGACCATGCAGGGAGGTCTAATCCCTCCTGGCCAAACTAGTGCAGATAGGCTTTAAACCCCAAACTGGGTCTCATTCAAATTGAAGGAGAATATATATCATGATTGCAGGGTCCTCAGGGCCAACAGTATGATTACTGATGAGGCCACCCTGGGTTACCAAGACATATCGTTATTGTTTCGCTGAGCGAAATTTATTTTGTGGATTTTTTAAGCAGGTCAAAAATCTTAGAAGAGATTTTTAGAGCGCAGATTGTTTGTTTCATTAAGATGAGAAAAAAGGTTAATTTTGTTCATTTAAATAAAAAGAAAGCGAGATATTCATTCTCTTTCAGCCTCAATGAAGCATTTAAGTATTTTATAGAAGGTGAATTGGCAATTTAAATATTTACAATGTCTGTTGTATTTATGATCGATGTTTTTTATAGTAGGATTTGAAATGGCCTTTTCTTTGAGTATTTTTTTTCAAGGATACCTTACATTTGACTTCGATAATAAGCGAAGCCATTTTAGACACTTGTTCATGTAGTCTGTCGAGCGTCAAGTCACTGGAGATGAGCTCTCCAGTTTTCCCAGTTTTTCCCGTTTTGTCCTGTTTTTACAGTGACACCAGTGAGCCCAGTGTTTCGGCAGTAAATTGCTAAGTTCAGGCCAAGGAAGTGAGTTTCTGATATAGAGATAAAATGTGTAAATTATAAGTTGAATTTCATTCGTTCAACTTCAGTAAACATTGAATAGCATGTGTGAAAGTGAATCTTATTCGTGTGGTGCTATGCCAGAGACATTACTGTACAATTTGTTGCCGTTTTGGCGAAGAGTAAAAGTGGATAAATATAAAGGGAAATAAGAGAAATGTCAATAATTTAGGCGAGATTTGGTCAATTTATATTGAACTGTATTGTGTTTATTTAGTCAGTGCAAGTGAAGTTTTGCTTTGAAATATTCATGTAGATTTCTGGATAATGTAATTTACAAGCAAGTGGTTTGTACTGTGCAGGGTGTAAATGTCACCTACTTAATTATGCGCACAGCTAGAGCCAAGCTTTATACATGGGGCTTTGCATTGAAAGCAGTCTCCATGTTTTGAGTTATCTTTGTAACATAAACAGAGAGTTATGAATTATAGGTTTGTGAAGACTAATTGAGTATAGTTCAGTTAAAGGAATTTAGTCACAATTTTATTGTGAATTATTAGAAACAAGTGTTGATTTTCAGATTGGGTTGATATTTTGGAAAGATGTGATTTAAACACGTATAATGAGATAGGCTTTTGGATTTCAGCCATAGCATTTATTTTTGTAAGGCATTTATCAAGATGTTTATGAAAGTATACATTTGTAGTGACAAATGTTTAACCAAGTTAGTTGCCTTTATTAATTATGCAAATACCAATGCATGTTTATGTATGGCTACCAAATCACAAGGTTCAGGTTTAGGACAGTTTGGGTATTTGATATACAAGTGGTTTATATTTATGAGTACAAGTTCATTAAGTTGTATTAGAGGCACTCAGAAATAAGAAAACAAAGGAAACTTTTTCGTGCAATACTTATTAATTTATTGTATTTTCTGTGCATCTGATTCTCATTACAGATTGAATTTTGTGTCTGTTTTGTCTTCGACTCTTCATACTACTCTTCGTTTGAGGAAGCTAATAAAGACTTCATAATCCCATTTCAAATTTGGAACTTTTGCAATTTGTTTCATGGTCAGCGAACCAGTTATCATTATTATCTAAATCATTATAAATCTTATACTCATTAAACCTCAGTTTAACTTCCTTTGTTAAAATCATCCTTAAGCTGAGCCTAAATTCTGCATCGAGTTACAATCTAGGATAGAATATGGGCCTTTAAGTATTTAAAGAAAATGAGATGAATACAGATTGAATGAAATGAAATCAATTATCCATATGGAAAATGAAATTGTTATGGAATCTAAACCTCTGCAAAAGAGAAAGAATTATTGTATGTCAAAACAATTTCATTTTTAAAATAGCAAATATGCGATTCTGTGAAAAACTATGCATGTGACATTTATCTCAAAAGTATAATCTGCATTTTATAAACATTAAAGTGATCAAGTGGGACTCTTGCATTATTGAAGCTTTTGTTTTTATCATGTGGACATAGTCATGTTCGCACCCCATGGAAAAATTGGAAATGCTTTGGAGTCGGTTACAAATTGGCATATGAAATATTCAACATGCATGAATAACTAACAAGCACTTTGATATTTTACCTCAAATTAACTTATAATAACAAATAAGAAGCCTTCAAATAGGATCCCTTATACTAGATTTCTTGTATTTATAAATAAAAAATAGCTGTATCTCAACCAATTTCATTAGAGAATGGGATAGGTACATACAAGCTTATTTTGGACATGCTTCTGTACTCTAAAACATATTGCAGGCATGAATAATTTATCTTGAGAATTTTCATCTAAGATCAAGGATGCATACCACATATATGTATTTATGTTGGGAGCCAGAAGAGTATTAACTCTGTCAGAGAATATGAAATAACATTCTTCTGGCTCTCAACAAAAGATATATATATTGATTAGGTGGGATTCCTTACAATATTTATGCTAGTTGCATTATCTTGCATTTTCAAAAACATCTTGATTGCTTTTGGGAATAACAGTTTTAAAAAAATATGATATTGCAGTCCTATCTTGCATCATACATAAAATATATAATGTGTTGTTTCCACTGAAGTTAGCATAAGCACTGATTGCACTGTGGTCAATTTCTAATGATATAGTTGAGTTCCCAACCACAAACCTTGACAAACAGATATACAATGTATGTGTATATGTGTACATAATATATTAATCCATAGACTGTTGAATTCTGTCATCCCCATAGGCTTCGCACATAAACCACTTGATTCCCAGAGGCAATGGATTAATAGACTCCACTGTACAGCTGGCATTGAATGCATATATATTCATGAATACTGCACAGACATGAAAGTTAGAAACAAACACCTGTTCTGAAGAGTCTAGACCATATGCTCATAAAACAAATTGACTTTTTACATTACACAATCGACCAGCATATTTATCTTTCCATCACATTTTAATGTCGATTTCGATTAAATCAGCAAGTACGCTCACAGCCACTTTCCTACAGGGCGTTTTGTTCAACGATATGTACATGGCATACCTCATATTCTACAAAAAGCAAAATTGAGAGGACATTTTGCTATCTACTGATTGATTTAGCCATAGCCCAAAAGATATTCCAAACTCAATAGCAAATCACTCTAAAAGGAAGCAGAATATTTAGTGAAAGTTTGAGCAAATTGGACAAACACTATGCATTTTTGAAAGTTTTTAATCACTACACATGAGGGAATTTCAGTTTGGTTGCAATGGTAATGTCACTGTGATGTTACACCAGACAACTCATTTATACCAACATATACAATGACTGAAGTATTTAACAAAAATCTTTTTGGAGGACCTCTAATAGTATGCCATCCATAATAATTTGAGTAGTGCCCCAGTGGACATGGTGCTTGAAGAAATCCAGAAATTAATGATATTTCAGAATATGACAAAGACGGGGGTTAACCATGAATACATCACAACCTAATGTCTAAATTTGAGATTCGCATAGATTTAGTAATCTCATATTTCCAACATTCATATCTTTCTTATCATTTTAAAGATACATTTCAAATTTTCGTCATTGTTTTTTCACACAAATGAACTTGTTACAAAGGTTGCTTTGCCCTGTAAATTCTACATGTTGTAAGCGCTCCATACACTCACACTCACCCAAGATGTAGAATGGCTTGAGCTACTACTAGCCCCACTGGTCGGTGGGGGAGAAGAAGTAGTAGAAGTAGTAGCAGCAACCACTGCGGATGTAGCAGGGGTGGGTTTATCCCTTAAAGCATCCTCTGCTTCTTCTAGGAAATCATCAGACGACTCGTCAGATAGTCTCTTAAGCCTTTGCTTCCTTCCTTCTAAACTTTCCATCTCGTTATCAAGGAGGTGCACAACTTTGGACAATCAGTGGGTTAAATGTGATATTGGCAAGAAGTTGATAGTTGGTTTACTTCAGTAGTTGTATGCAGAGTCACATGAATACTGAACAGGACATTACCATTCAAAATGCCATCATACTCCCCGAGTATTTGAAGTGTATTGTCTGAAAGGTGTTTCTGTGGGAAGACACTACTGATTATTTAAAGAACCACGAACACATTGGTATCCTGCATGAATCCCTCAAGATATTCCAAGTCTATTGTCACCATTCATGAGACAAATGATGAGCAATGAAACTTATTGTCTGCCTGCCACATGAAAAACAGACAAAATAAGTAACAAATCAAGCGTGCTTTCTCCAGAGAATTGTGTTACAACCACTGTGTATTATCCATTAAGTAGAATCAGAAACAGAGTTCTATAAGAACAAATTGTTTGTAACAGATCATCAAAGTCAAAGAAAAGAAACTCAAATGAAATTTTCTCCCTTTCAAAGCTTTTCATTGGATTCACTTTCATCCATCAAAATTATAAATCAACCAAATAACAGATGCACCTGATATATTTGTCAAAATACTTTGTGTCTAAATTCACCACACACTCTGTAAACAGGATTCAAGTAGTGTATCCCTGGATTGACCAAGTCCAAGGTAGCCTAAACAACTACATGAATGTCCCTCCTTTTCTTGAAATTCCAAGACAGCTAGGATCCAACATGTTGACACCATGATCGTTGGAAGCGAAATGATGCAAAACATCCCGCACCTTAACT